GATAGCACAGCATTTTCTACTCTCATATTGTAAAGAGATTCAGGTATGCCATTTGTTCTTAGCCATGATACAACTATAACTGAAGATGTGAAAAGATCTGTCATACTTAAGTCTGTAATTAACTTAAATATAGGAGTTTTATGGTCTCTGGGGAAAAAAACCTGAAAACAACAAAAAAATCTCACCTCAAACAAAAATAGCAAGCTTGTTCACATTTCAAGTATTTTCCAGCCAAATGGAAAAGTTTGGCACATGTCTGGTAATAGAAGGCAAACAAGGCTGCACTGTAGCAGAGGAATATTTTTAGACCTTTGCTTGTTTTTATTATGTTCACATAGTGGTATATCCAAAAGAAATAAGTTTCACAGCAAATGTGGTTAATTCAAAGACAATGAAATGTCGACAAATTTATCAATTAAAATAAGTATGAACACCAACTCTTAAGTATATACAATTTAAAAAGAATTGAGTTCCTGACCACCAAAATCAACCAAGCTAAATTCAGACAGGATGAAAAAGAATAAAACCACTTTGTTTTGTTTTTTCTCTTTTTCCTTTTAAATAAAATTAAAAAGAATAAAACCTGCTTCTACATACATATACATATAGAGGGAAGACAGAAATTTGCTAATTCATGCTGTCAACTAACACAAAGGTTGCATCTAGTGCCAATCAGTGACACTAGATTCCAACTGAAATTAGGAAGGTAGGGAAAAGAGAGGCAAGTTAAGGACCACCCAGGAATTCCTTGAAGATGTAATAATCTCATGATGCCTCAATGAAAACAAATGATTCATTCACTGCCGATTACTGACTGTTTATCCTGTACTACATACTGTGCGAGGTATAGCTATGGAGACTGCCCTCAGATAATCAGGCTGAAGAGATAAGCAACTGTACCATCATAGCTATGCCCTTTCTGATGCAGCTTCTCTTAACCAGGGACAATTCTGTTTTCCAGGAGACATCTGGCAACTGTCTAAAGACATTTTTGAGCAGGGCATAGTGGCGCATGCCTATAAATAAAGCACTTGGGAGGCTGAGAAGGAATTATCACCGAGTTTGTGGGCCAATAAGCAAATTCAAGGCCAGTCTGGACTACATAGTGAGACCCTGTCTCCAAAAAATAAATAAATAAATAAATAAATAAAGACATTTGGTAGTCAGAACTGAAGAAATGCTACTAGCATGCAATGAATGAAAGCTACATATGGTGTTAAACATAAATCCTATGCACAGGGCAACCTTACAACAAAGAATTATCTAGCCCAAAATGTTAACTGTGCCAAGGCTGAGAATGTAATGACTTAATGTAATAAAAATAAGGGCAATGCAAATGGTTCAAATAAATGCTAGTCTAGAGCCAATCATGGTAGCAGGTGCCTGTAATCTCTGCATTTGGGAGGCTCAAGCAGGACTTCCCCAAATTCAAGGCCAGCATGAACTACACAGGCAAAATTCAGTCTCAAAAAATAAAGAGGCAGGTATGGTGGCACACATCTATAATCCCAGAATTTGGGGGACTGAAGCAGGAGGATCACCGTGAGTTCAAGGCCAGCCTACACTACATAGCTGAGTTCAAGGTCAGTCGGAACTACATAGTGAGATCCTGTCTCTAAAATAAAATAAAATACTTCAAAGGGTCCAGTGATCCCAACATGGATACCCTGGGAGGTCACTCTCCCCGGGCTCTGTCCAGGTGGCATAGGGGAGCATAGGGATCTTGCCCCATGATGGACAGTCCTTTCCACAACTCTGGAGAAGAAGCTGGGCCTTGTGTCTGCGCCTGCATATTCCTACAACTTCTCAGAGTCCTTTGGACAGTGACTGAGGAGATAAACGATGCAGGAAACAGTCTTAGAAAAACAAAACAAAACAAAACAAAAAACAAAGGGGCCAGTGAGGTAACACACATCTGTAATTATAGTAGTTGGGAGGCTGAAACAGGAAGATCACTGCAACTTCAAAGCCAGTCTGGGCTATATAAAGAGTTCAAGGCCAGCCCAAAGTACATAGCAAAAAACCACACAAACAAAAACAAAAAAATCAAAGAGCATAAAATGTTAATCAAAATTAGAAAGTCAATCTGTACCATCAAGCGAAAATCAACTAAAAAGGGTCTGAGTAGAGCTGCAGGTATAGCTGAATGGCAGCTTACATTCATGAAGGCCCAGCGCTCAATCCTCAGCACTAGAATAAGGAAAGAAAACAAAACAAAACGAAACTACTAAATAAAAGACAAGGGTCTGATGGAGAATGGGGGGGGGTCCTCTTTTTTTGAGGCAGGGTCATTAAATGGTTCAGGCTGACCGTGAACTCACTGTGTAGCCCAGGCTGGCTTTGAACTCACAGTGAACTTCCTGCCTCAGCCTCCTTAGTGCTGGGATTACAAGCATGCATCACCATGTCTGGTTTTGATGGAGAATTTTTTTGTGGGGGTTTTTTTTTTTTTGGTACTGGGGATCTAACTCATGACCTTGTGCTTGCCAGGCAGGTGCTTGCACTGCTGAGCTAAACCTCCGGCCCATATAGTGGTTGTTTTTAATTTGTTGGACACAGATCTCACTATGGTATGTAGCCCAGGCTGGTCTCGAAAATCCTAGCTCAGCTTCCCAAGACCAATTACAAACATGTATCACCACCCCAAGCTTGAGTGTGCACAATTTTTAAGTTGGACAAAGAAGTTTAGATTTCATCTTTTGCCAATATGAATGTAATAAGATGAAAATGATTCATTGTAAAGAACCTTCAAAAGATTAGTCCTGGTAGACAAATTTAAAGTAATAGATATGGGGCCAGAGATTTAGCTCAGCAGCGAAAGTACCTGCCTGACAAGCACAAGGTTGTGAGTTCAATCCCTAGTACCCTTCCCCAAAGCCAAAAACAACAATAAAATAATAGGTATGGAAGCAAAGTTACTAGTAAAACTAATGATACCATTTCAAGGAAATAAGCACTAGGAATGGATAAGTTCTAGTTCAAGTATCTTTAGCTTTCCAACGTCAGCATTAAATTTCAAGCCAAAGGGCTTAACTTCCAATGATACCTTGCATTTGCTTCTTTAAACAAAATGAATCTTTTTGACTCATGATGCTTCACAGAAAACCAAAAAGTAATTTACTTCTTTAGGATCTATTCCTTCCCACTTGACAGAGTGAACTTCTAAAATATAAATCTCATCACATTTTCCTACACAAACCCCTGCAGAGAACCTGTACAGCAAATAAAGTAAAACCCAAATGCTTTACAAGTCCTGCATATTTGACTCCACCACTTCTCATTTTCTCCAGTTTGCCACATACACTGAAATTCCAATTAGGCTAACTAGTCATGGTAGTTCAGATGTCTAGGTCTCTAAGTTATTGCACCTGTGGTCCTCTTTGTCTGGAAAACCTCTTTCTGGACTCACTATATGGCTAAGTAAATCCTAGAAGATCCAGCCTTCCATTTCCTCCTGCACTCATGGTTTAGGTGCAGTATTTCCTATGCTCTCATCCTTTGTACTCACAATAGTGCAAATGGTCTGCTACTCACATACTGTAAGCTCCATGAGAACAAGTGTATTTTCCTCTCACAAGAACTAATAAATGTATGGTAAATGATGAATGTGCTGGGCTACCTATTACACTTAGAGAGCAACCCTTACAAAAATTGACAAAAGTTCTGACACTACCTCTAAAATATTTGCATCTAAACCGGGTGTGGTGGTGCAAACCTGTAGTCCCAGCACATGGAAGGCTGAAGCAGGGATCACTGGATATTTGAGGCCAGCCTGGCACAAAATGAACTCAAGGCCAGCCTGAACTGCATAGTGAGACACTGTCTCAAAAAAGACAATAAATAAATAAAAATAAAATGTTTGCATCTCTTCACTGATCTTACTCTACTCACCCTTCAAAACTTTTCTGAACCCCCGTTACAGTTTTCTAACACCCTGTTCTTTACTAACATTCATCACGTTTATAATTACTTCTTGAATGTCTCTGCAAACACTATTAGCTGGTGAGGGCAGGAATTCGCTTGTTTAAAGCTGCATAGACTGAACCCGGCAAAATGCTGGCACAGAATAAACACAGCTTGTTATATACTGAATTTAATCCTGTGATTACAGTAGAACTCTCCACTAAAAAGATATGTTATAAAAAAGCTAAATAAGATATTTATCTACAGCCACAGATACTTTAGCCAGACCAAACCTGAGCCACCTGATTTCAGTTCAGGAAGTAGCCACCAGCACCAAAAAACTAGCTTAAACTATTCTAAGAAATACACACTGGTAGTAGGAGAGATATCTGAATGTAAATGTGGGACTGGTTGGCTTCTCTTTTTCACATCTCCCTGGCATTCTAAACAAATTCTAAATTTTTAAAAGTAAAAAATTCCACGGAGCAGGTGGCCCAGGTCGTTCGACTACCCCAAGCTAGAGAGGTTACAAGGAAATAAACGTGCGACGATCTGAGGCTGATAATGTAAGGAACTGGAAGAATAATTTCGATTCTTTTTCTCTCTTACTACAGGATCGTACAGCAGCCTTGTCTCCGGATACGAATTTACCCATCCGTGCAATGGGAGCGAGGTAGCGTATAGTGAAGACGCTAAGGTCTCAGAGGTTCCTTTCAGTCAGGACGCCTTAGGAAACAAGCCTGCACTCAGGCTGAAGGACGGCGCTGCAAAACTGGATAGAAGGGCCTCCTCAGTACCTCCTGGCTCAGCTGGTGACCCCCACTCCACCTCAGAAGACCGCGCCCAGGAGTCCAGGTCGGCCTGAAGGCCTCCGCCCCGGCTCTTTATCGGGGCTCACCAAACGCGTGTAGGCCAGGAAGGCTATTAAAAATGCCAGAAGCTGGTGGGTTCTGGAGGGGACCCCCATCCCTACTCAGCCGCGCCCCCTCACCTTAAGAGTTCTGTCTCTCCTCAGGACTGCGATCAACCGCTCTCCACTTCCGGCAAGAACCGCCCAGCAATCTTCGCGCGACCCACTTCCGGGCCCTCACTGGGCGCGGCTCCCCCACCGGAAATGAACCGCCAGCCAACTCTAAACTAGACCCCCGAGTAGGAGGCGTCTGCCCCCTCCACCGGTTCGTAATCCCGCCTTTATTCACAACGCTTGGGAGACCTGGGCTAGCCCAGTGGGCGCTGGGGAAAGTGGCCCGCCTCCAAAGCGGGAGCGACCCGGTGGGTGGGTGGGGTGAGGGTGTTGGGAGGGTGCGCGCGCGTGCACAGGCCGGCCCACGCCTCTCCACACTGTGTGCCAGCACCGCCCCCTGAGCCCGGGGCCAATGAAGCGCCGAACTCGTTGGCTAAACTCCTCCTCCGCGAAGGAAGACGGATGAGTGGCTGGTCCTCCTGTCAGTTTTGTGTCAATGGCAAAGGCAGGTTCCTTTCTGGGTAGTTCGGAAAGAGTCTTGGAAGGGCTATAGGGAGTCCCCGAGGACCAGGTCCCGGGAGGCCGTCAACTTTCTGTGGTTATCGAGGCCAAGCTTGGCCTCTCTCTGGGCGTGCTACCCCAATTTCCTTGCTTTTGCTATGAAGAAACAACAGGTCTGGCCAGCGTTTCTAGTGGACCTGAGGAGTCCGTCTGGGCGTGGGGAGCGCGGCCAGCGATCGTGCTGTGGACCAGCCTGGGTGTCTGGGCGTGCCCGCCCCACTGGGCTCCCTCAGCTCGAAGCTAGGAAGGTGGAGAAAAACTGTGCCCTCTTGCCCTACTTCCTGTTTGCTTGGTGTTCTCTGTGACCATAGATGGTCAGGTCTGGGGCTTGTGCTAGCCTCCACCCCCCCCCACCCCCCGCTTTAGAGTCCCTCCTCCCTGAGGGTGTGGTCCCTGAAAATAAGATGAGAGGGACTGGAGGAGATCTGGCCCCACTCCGTTATCTGGTTTTGTGACATCTTTACCAAGGGCTGGTGTGCAAAGCAGCAGCTAATTCAGTCCTGGCGCGGTTCTGCATGGTGGTTGTAGTCCGCGAGAGAGACTTCGCATCTTTCCTTGCTCCTTTAGACCGGGGATCTCATCTTTGTTCCTTTAGGATTCATTTGCCAACCAGTCATTATCCTCCCACAGTGATTTATTTCCAGAAAAGTAATTGGCGAGGTGCCACAGTTCCCACCCTTTCAACTGAGGGACTTTGGCATTTCAGGGTTCAAGCTGAATACACGCATTATATGCAAAAGTCATTCAGCAAATACAGTTCTTGCAATAATAGCTCCAATTTTCTGGGTGCTGACTACATGCCAGACCTGTGCTGAGCTATTGGAGCATATTTTCATTTAATAGCAACTCTGCAGTAGGTACCATTACATCTTCTGGTTTTCAAATTAGGAAGCCCAACAGCTTGCCAAGGTCACAGAGTAACTGTTGGAACTTTGAAGAGAACACAACTGACAGTAAACCTGATGAGTTTAATTATGCCCTGTGATAGACTATGCTGGATTCTTTTGAGACAGTGAATGACAGTAGCTATGGAGACATGCCACACCCCAGTCCTGGCTTGAGCCCCTTACTAATGATATAGGGGAGTGAAACTCCTGACCTACTGTGTCCGTGAGTTCGTGTTTTCTAAAATCTAAGAATGAACTTTAGGAACAACAAAAGTTAAGAGTACAATATGTTTATTGAGAGAAAGAAAGCTTCTATCTGAAAAGAGACAGAAAGGGTACTGAGCGGGTTTCCCAAGACTCTGTCTTTTCCAGGGACTTTTATAGAATAAAACCATGGGGTGAGATGGGATCAATTGGGGGAAGGCTGGAAACTCACAAAGCAGATGGGCATAATGTGGGACACAACTGTAGTTAGCCAATAAGATTAGTAATTCAGGTAAAATTAATTACATTAGGGACAAGTGGGAAAGCAAGTCAATAGGAAACAGGTATTCTTAGAGTAGTGACCTTTCCCTTAGGGTGGTGGGATAGTGACTCCAGGGTAATAGGGAACTAATTAGAATATCAGTCTTTTGTGATGTAGACGCTTTTGTTGGATCTTTTGTCTTGAGGCCTGGCCCACAGCAGGAGGTCTGTCTCCCCTACAATTGTAAGGTATCTGCACTGGTTCCTTTGAGGACCTAGTGCTGTCTCACTGCCTATATTTCTAACTAATTGGGCTGCCTGCAACACTAAGAGCCAGACTTTGGTCAAGTTACCGTGGACAACCTATTGGACTCTTCCCAGTTTTATGACTCTATTTGTTTAAAAGAAAGATAACAACATGACAAAGTATCATACAAAAATCATAGTATATTTAAATACTGACATTTAACAAAAAGCTATTTATACTCTGTCTCTGTATGACCAAACTTTTTGTGGACATAGCATCAAATGGTTAAATTTAAATGTATGGAGGCTGAGGACAATAGGTCCCCTGCCTTTTTCTTTTCTTTTTTTTCCTTCTCTTTTTGTTCATTTGTGTGTTTGTTGTTGTTATGGTCTTGGATATTGAACCCAGGAACTTTGCACTGAGCCACATCCCCAGCCCCATTTATTTTGAGACAAGGGCTCCATAAATCAGTAAATTACCGCGGATGGCCTATCTCCTGCAGTTCTCCTGCCTCACCCTCCAAAGTGCTAGGGTTACTGGGTATGCCATATGCTGGATTCCCTCATAATCTTTTGCTCTACATTGAGCCCTTCTAAATTTTTATTCTGAAGTAGGAACATGAAATGTTCCTACAAGAAGAGGAGAGGAAGAAACAGGAAAGATATAAAGAAAGAAAATTTCCTCATCTGTAAAATGGTGATGATAGCCAGGCATGGTGGTGCACACCTGTAATTCCAGCACTTGGGATGCTGAAGCAGGAGGATTGCAGTGAATTGGGCCAGGCTCAGCTATATAGTGAGTTCAAATCAAGGTCAGCCTGAGCTACATAGCAAGACCCCTCCCCCACAAAAAATGATAATGATAATCCATGTGATTGTGATGAAAACCTCAGTGAGCTATGCAAGTAACATAGATTGGATTCATTTGTATCTTTCCAGTGTCAGATATCATTGAGTAACAATAACTTCACAATCTACATCAATTTCAATCAACCTTATCAGGCCAACTACCGAAGGGTCATTCCAGAGTCTACAGAGCAGACTCATAAATTCTTTTATTCCCAATCTGTTTTGTTTTGTTTTGAGATGAGGTCTCACTATGTAACCAAGGCTGACCTTGAGCTTTCAGCTATCCTACTGCTTCAGACTCTTGAGTGCTGAAATTACAGGCATGCACCATAACACCCAGCTTCTAATCTTTTTTTGGTACCAGGGACTGAACTCATGACCTCATTCTTACCAGGCAGACACGCCGCTGAGCTAAATCCCCAGCTCCCTGCCCCCACACACAGCTTCTAATCTTAACTAGTAATAACTATAATACTCAAGTGACATATCACACTTTATGCAATATATGTGACAGAATGGCTAAGAAAGGGTAGACAGTGGATGCAGGATTTGAAGAGGAAGAACTAAAAGCCAAAGCAGAGTCTACAAAGATGTAAAATCACCACAGGTAACTAAATAAGGTTACAAACAAAGCAGAACAACTCCAAGGTGAGGAACTTGTTGAGAGCACAGAGTTAGTTCAAAGCCTACATCAGGACAGCAGGCAGTTTGGGCAGCATTGGGCAGGGGGATGGCTGAACAATAAATGGATGTTGGGTTTTGTCAAAGGCTTTTTCTGCATATAATTGTGTTATTTTGTCCTTGATTTGATTTATATTGTGTATTACATTTATATGTGTGTATATATGACATTTATATGTGACATGTGTATGTTGAACCATCCTCCCTGTGATAAAGCCTACTTGGTCATGGTATATGGACTTCTTGATGATTTGCTGTGTTGTTTGTCAGTATCTTGTTGAGGATTTTTGATCTATGTTCATTAAAGAGGCCAACTAGCAGTTCTATTTTTTTGGTTGGATCCTTCTCTGGTTTTGGAAGCAGGGTAATGCTAGCTTTCAGAAATATCTTTGGGAGTATTCATTAAATATTCTATTCTATCAGTTTCATTAAATATTTTTTTCTTTTTCTTTTCCTTTTTATTGGTACAGGGAATCGAACTCATGACTGCCTTCTTGCAAGGCAGGCGCTTATGCCACTGAGCTAAATCCCCAGCCCCCTTCATTAAATATTTTAAGGAGTATTGGCATTAGAACTTCCCTGAAGTAGTAAATTCATAGGATCCTGGACTTTTCTTAGTTAGTAGTTTTATTTATTTATTTTTTTACTTCTGCTTCAATTATTGCCTGTTATTGGATTACTCAAGGTTTTATATCTTCTTGCTTCAGTTTTGGTAATGAATTTATATCAAGGAATCTCTGTTTCTTTTGAATTCTCTAACGTGTTGGAGTACAGGTTGTTTAAGTAGCTACCAAAAATCTGGATTTTGGCAAGGTCCCTTGTGATTTTGTCTTTCTCAATTCTAATTTCATTGATTGTGGTTGTTTCATTTCTTTTTATGGTAAGAAAGGCTAAGGGTTTGTATCTTGTTTATTCATTCAAAAACTAGCTCTTCAATTCATTGATTCTTTTTTCCTCTTTTTTATTGGTACATTTTAGATATATATAATAATAATGTTATTATATAATAATAATATAATAATAATAATGTAATAAACCATAGGAAATTTGTGCTACTTTGTGATACATATTGTTTTTTCTTTTTTCCCATTCCCCTCCCCTCTTCAAACCCTCTTCCCCTCCTTATTTACAAAAGCTTTGCTGTCATTATTTTCCTTCTATTATTTTTATTTCTTATCCCTTCCTTCCTTTGCTCATCCTCTCTCTCTTGTTCTCCTTCTCATTTGAACATTTTTTTCTTATTTCTCAGTATCTATTATACATTTTGGTCCTTATTTACACCTTTGGTTTCTCACACCACAGAAACAATGCTGTACTGAAACACATGTCTGAATTATTTCATGTAAAGAGTATTATCTCAAGGTACATCCATTTAGCTAGAAATGTCACAAGTTTCTCTTTCTTCCTCCTCTTCTTCCTCCTCCTCCTCTCTTCTTCTTTTCTTCTTCCTTATCTTCTTCTTCCTCTTTTTCTTCACCAAGGATCAAACTCACAACCTCGCACTTGCCAAGCAGGTGCGTGT